CCCCACAGCCACACCCCCCTCACAACTCTCACGTACCCTAAACACCCCCACCCCACCATACACCCCCACCACATACACACACCCCAACCACATCCGCTACACAGTATAAAAGACTAAGAATTTATAATGCAATTACCTCTAAACACACTACACAAACACAAATCATGACAAAAATATTTTTTGTAATAAAATTAAAATATGTTATAGTAGGTGATAGACTTTACATGCATGATTTGTTTTTTTTCTGGTTCTAAGATGGCAAATTTGGGAATGTCACAATTTGGGAATATCTGTAGTTGTCAAATCCAAATCAAATGCGCCTGCCTGGTCTTCCAAATAACAGTTGTGCCCACAGCACTCCCCAACACTATTCCAGCCCAGGGAAAAGACCCAGATTGATGCAAGACAACTGACTTGTAGCAGTTTCAAAGGTGGCATGAGTCAGGATGGCACAAATTGAGAAGTTCATTATTGTAATGGGCTGATGCTGCAAGGGCATTTATTCCTGTATAGTTCTGGGAACCCTCAACACAGAGTCAATGGGAATGGGGAGTAGACTGCTCTTCACTCAGAAGTCAGCATAGTCTTAGGCTGGATTGTCACACAGGCTTTCCTCCAAGTGAATAAAAATGTATTTGTGGAAGGAGTCATGAATGGACAAAATGTATGCAATAGAAGATGCCAACTACCATTTAACACAGTGGAAAGAAGATGCATTTTTCTCCCCATACTCCCTTCTCCACCCCTTGCTCCCGCTGCACCTAAAACAGATTGTGTTTAGCCATCCTTTTTATCAGGCAGCTGTGCCAAAGATCTGCAAACCATACTACTGCCCTTCACTTTGATTTTAATACAGACACAACACAAAGTTACCAAGCTTGATGAGAGAATCAGTGCAGAGGAACAGTGAAAAACCCTCAACATAATGGCTTATCGCATCAAAGGACACATTGCCAATGCAGCTTGCACATCAAGACATTCTTAATCATGGTGCTCAAACCAGAAATTACAGAAAATGTAGGGCTTGGATGCACTTTTTTGAAAGTGAGGTTGTGTGTTCAATAATGATAGGTTGCATATTTCTATCCTATGTTGCATTTCTGGTAAAAACATGCAGCTTTCTTTATTCTCTACTGCTCATGTTGTCAAAGATATTCTGAGAAAGACCAGAGAAAATCCAGTCAGCCTGAGCTAATTTGCTTTGGTACTTACAGTACAAGAGAGACAGGTAGACACGAAGTAGCTAGGACTTTGTACCTAGTTAATCTGAATCTTGTTCAAATAAAGCTTCAGAGATGACACACGGTGTTTAGGAGAGTTTACAAAGGATGAAACAAAGACTTTGGCAAGCACAAGTGAACACAAGAGAAAGAGAGAAAGAACAAATGGTTTAATTTAATGATTTAAACAAAGTGTTTAATTCAAATGAAACACATGCCTATAATAAAGTTATTCCAGGAAATATTTTAAGTATGCCCCAGTCATTAGGTAAATCATAAACATTTGCATCTTGGAACACATCTGGGGACTGTCCATGTTAGCTTTTATAAACGTGTTAGCTGGCAATCAATTAATACAAGGTAAAAACTCTAGTGAGGATAACTTTAACGGCAATGGTAGCTCTGCTTTCCAAATTTCTAACTGCCATTGGGACTGTTACCAGCTTATTTTCAGTTTGCCCAGCTTCTCAGCACATCTTCATAATTCAAACAACATTAACTGTAAACCAAGAAAGAGTCAATAATTTCTCTCGCTTTGGGTTTGTTGGTATATCCATGCCAGGAAAATCCTATAGTAGGGATCCACCTACCAATAATGCTCTTTTGCTATAATAGCTTAAATGAGTTTCCAGAACATAATACGTTATACCAGGAAAAGAGCTTTTTTTCCCCTTGTACAAATTCATCTGCATTATCGTTTTTGCCAACATTTCCCTCTCAGATAATGGTGCATTTTTTTTCCTTCTGCACACTCCCAAATGTTATAGCTATGCCAGCAATACTTTTAAAGCATATCAGCCATCTGTCTGTTGTAATCTACAAATATGTGCATGTCAGAACAATAGCAGGGGACTATCTGGCCACATTAGCCCACCTGTCAACTCAAGGAAAAATGAGAGACCTAGAAAACAGCAGTAAAATAGGTGCCTAGGAGAAGGTAAGTAGGATAGTGTATAGTTAACGGCCCAATTTTTCAGAAATGAACAGTGGAAACACCCATTGAATTCTGCTCCAATAAGCAAGCTCTTTGCTTTCAAGCAGATTCCCTTTTGTGGTCCCCTGTGACCCTAGACACTAGCCTCTGGAGTTTACCCTGATTGTGCAATTCTAAACATATGTGGGCAA